GTCCATAAACTCGACCCAAACGGATCCTTCCAACCCATATAATCCCAATAATCCACATGATAAGCCAACAAAATCACCGGCATTTCTAGGTTAAAATCGCCTCTCCCAATCCTCGAAAACAACAGCTCCGCTTCAGGTGAGGTGGCGCAGCCTTGCGATGAGAATAACTCCACCACCACCGGCCCGCACCGTTTTTGCTCCTCCGCCGTCAAATCCGCCGTCGCACTGTCCTTGTTATTCGAGCCGGGATCTTTTGAAGAAGAATGAGAAGAACCGCCTTTGCCGAAGCAGGTGAAGAGACGGCGCCCCATTTCCCGACGAGTCGTCTCAAACCTGGTGATTCGTTAAAGCTTTAATGGAGAAAATTGTACTGAAAATATATTTTATCAGAAATTAACCTATGTTTTTATGGGGTTTTCAAACGGAAGGAAAAAATATATATATGAGAAATGAAAATAGAAAGCTTAGAATAGTAAAAATTATGAAGATATGGTGGAGAGAAAAAGGTGGCGAAGCAAGTGCCTTTCTATATATATATTCATAGTACCTTTATAATACGCTAGATTTCAGGATAAGTGTGTGAATATTTGATTTTAACATTATTTATTAATAAGTAAACTCTATTTTTTTTTTAAATATTTCATTCTTATATTATTTTGTCTCAATTTGAATCATGTAAAGTTTAATTGGGTCTTTACTATTTCTAATGTTAGTAATGTTAACTAACCGTTCATTTACTTGAATTTAGACACATTATTAGGTTCAAATACTTTTAAATATTATATAATTAAAAATAAAAATACAATTTTATGTTTTAACTATATTCATATAGTATTTAATCATAATATCAATCCAAACTTATCATATGCAGAATGTCGATATTAACTTTATTTTGACACATACATAAATAAAATCACGTAAACATCTAAACTTTAAACGGAACGGAATGAAAAGTAAAAATTAGAGGGAAGGAAGATGGAATGTCGTTACCGACACGAAGGAGGAGTCGGTGACACGTTATTTGGTAGGTTGAGTTGGATTTTGTCAGACGTTCCATCTGCCCACTTAATAAAAAGTGCAAGGAATCTCTCCCATAAATAATTTTTATACGAAAGCTTGATTAAATTTGAATTCAAAAAATTTTATATTAAAGATAAAATGAATTTTAATAAAGACGATTTTATATTAAAGATATTTAAATTTAAAATCTCTTATTAATAATGAAAGAATACTTATCATTACACCGTAATTCTAAGATAAAAAGTATGTAATTTTATAGTTTTAGAACGACTTCCCACCAAAATGTCAAATTCAAGAACTTGCCACCACGAAGAAGCAAACAAAAACCGAGTGGTGTACTATTAAACACGCAACTTATTTATTAGGTGTGATCGAGTCTCTTCTTTTTCTTTTAATAAAAGAGATATCTTAATATTAAGCGTTAAAGTTAAAATTTTGAACTCTATATTTTAAACTAATATGTAACAAAATTTATATTTGGAACCTCCTAAGTTTTAATATTAGTAGTACCATTTTATTTACAAGTCTCTTTTTGAGCCTTTGTTGAGTTGTTTTTGGAGGATATATACACATATACACTTTTTAAATCCACATTCCACACCATCTTTTCCACGTGTATACACACTTTGCGTAGTGAAATTGAGATTTTGAGGGAAACATTAGATATATAGAATAACTAATATGTTGCCAAAACAAGATTAGTGAAAGACATTGAATAGTCCTATTCATTATCCACACAAAAAATGCCGTAATATATATAATATAAGGTTCAATTACATTGAGTAACAAAGAATTAATCAAATGAAATTGATCTGATTCTGATAAGAAAATTTGAACTGAAGTATCGAAATCAAATTTAAAAGCTATCTCATGAGTTGAGATTTGTCCACATCATATAAGAAGATAAATTACGACTACATTCACCACATATATATATATATATATGAGAATTCAGTCTATATACGTACGTATATATAATTAGGTAATTTCGTAGCCATATACTATTAAAAGTAGTATTAATTGGCAAAACAAAAGCTAGCCCACTAAATTTGTCATTTTACTCAAGTGGACATTTGGAATTATTCAACAATATCACTTTAATTTATAAACTATGAGTCTAATTGACCTCCACACATTTAGGATCCTCATCCATATGCTCTTTTATCCTTATATAATCCAATAGAAAATAGAAAAAGATATAGAAAAAAGTGAAAAAGAAAGACAAAAATTATTTTTTTATTTTTTAAAAAAAAATTCAACACTTTTTTTTTGGAAGATGTTGGAAGGGAAAGCAGTAATTGGAGATACAGATATGTTGGGAACCATGCAACAAGATGCATTAGATTTAGCTGCAAAGGCACTTGACTTCTTTGATGTCACTGAGGCCACTGAAATTGCACGTTTTCTTAAAAAGGTAACAAATCATAAATTGATCAATTGTTTTCCTTTTCTTCTTATATTAAGGTTTTATATTATGATATAATAGCGAGGGTCGAATTTAGAATTTAGATTTGATAAATATAATAAAAGTTTAGAGTATCAGTTGAATTCATACCTGGTGATCTACATCTGTTACATTATAATAATGAGATTCAAATATTATAGTGAATTTTTCAACTAAAAACTCGAACTTAGTCCTTTTTAGTACTGCGAGAAATTTTGTGTATAATAGCGAAAAATAATTTATTTATGAACATAATAAAGGGATTTAATTGTGGCTAGAAGCTAGTAATTCTAATAAGAGAATTCCGAATTATATAGAAGAATATTGTTATATATAGTCAAGATTTTGAACTTGTATTTCTCTATTATGTTTAAAAAGGATTCAAATATAAATATAATTACTTCATGATTGAATTCCAATTCCTTCCTTTTATGTAGTTTCGTCACTTCTTAAAAAAAAAGCGGAGATCTTGCTTTTATTTTTGTAGTAGATAGCTAATATGAGCATGGAAATATTTTCAAGAAATGAATGAGTCTGATAAATCCTTTAATTTTGTCATTTTGAGCTGATATACCCTTTGAAATTATATAATTTTTTTCCCCTCAAAATGAGTTAATTATGAATTACTAACTTTTTTTTATTTTTTGAATTAGGAATTTGATACAATGTATGGACCAGGGTGGCAATGCATAGTAGGGACAGATTTTGGTTCATTTGTAACACATTGTTATGGTTGTTTCATCCATTTCTACATTGGCAGCCTTGCTATTTTGCTCTTCAAGGGCTCTGCTGCCCTAGAGGACCCGAAAGCCGAGGCCGAAGCTGACCGATTTTCCACTCTGCAGGAAATAGCATGAAGTCACTTCTTCAGTAATTTTATCGTTGTCGACCTATATATACACTCCAATGTACAATATTAGGAAGTTTTAGAAGTCTTAATTTCACATTTATATTTTCATATCTATAAGTTATATATGTCAATTCGATGTCTTTCCTTTTTTTGGTGCTACATTATTTTCTTGGAAGGAACGGTGTTGAGGTTGGGGTGTATAGTAACCTGAATATAGGATGCCTGTGAATTTCTCTTTTAGTTGCTTCAACTACGATATAGGTAAAAAGAGTCGGTAAAAAAAAATACTTTTTTATAAAATTTAAAATAGTGAATTGAGGTCGAGTAGACTGATGGTGAGAACTCTCATTTTTTACTTTGTGGCATGAAATATTGACTGGTGAAACATTTTTTAAAAAAAGGCATATTTTGATGGTGTAATATATCACAATAATAAAATATTATAATTGAAAATAAAATGACAAAAATGAACAAACAAATTTTTAGGTTGAAACACGATATCTCACTCATTTTATGGAGATTCAAGCCCACTGTAGCATAATTTACACCGATCCATCAGTATCACTGTTGACTTGTTCCCTTACAGGGGTCAACAATCCTATAACGTGCACAACTTAAGCAACTCCGATCCGAATTAGTGTAACGAAGAACTACATAAATACATCCTTCACGCGAAAATGAGTTGAAACTTTTAAGTTTTCAATGAAATAAAGGTGACGAGCTAAAAGACCTTTTTAAGTCTTTCAATTAAATAAAAGTGATTACCATTTGTCCCTTTTAATCGAGAGTCCTTACTCTTCACGAAATGGAAAATGACTTTGATCGTATCAAGCCAATGAATAAAAAAAACTTTATAAATTCGATAATCTCCGAATATATCCCGTGAATAACATATATTACTTGCGTTTCTCTTCATTATCTTTTTTTAAAAATATCTGTATATAGATATCTTCAGCTAATTCTTTTAGTGAAATATGTTTATAGAGCAATGCACTTGTAATTATATATGGTCGTAAAAGTATGGTTTAATTCAACTCTTGGCTTGATTAAGCACAGAGGCATGAAGGGGACTCCTTGAGCACATAATTAATTAGTTGCATGGGGTGCCATGAATTTGTTTCTTCAATTCAATTACTTTTTCAATTTCAATAACTCGTGGTTATAGAATAGAGTGTGAACAACATATACAAGACACGAGTTATAGAATAGAGTGTGAACAACATATACAAGATTGGAAATTGACAATTAAAATTCATTTAGTATAGCCACTAGAAAAAGTTGGCTAATCATACGCAGTAGACTCGAATTACTTTGGTGCGCATGAGTCTAAACATTTTGGCAAGTTGGGAAACATGAAACAACGCTTACAATAAAGTGCATCGATATAAAAGTATGTTTAAATACCATAAAATTTCATATTTAAATTTTAGCCTGACAAAATAGTAATGAGCGATTTATTCTCATCTATCAAAATCTTAATAAATAAAGTTATTTAATTTTTATATTAATTACAAATTGATTCGTACGCCACAATAATAAAATAAAATCCAAAAAGCTTGACCAATGACCATATATTACATTGTGTACTACTATATGTTAGCAAGATAAAACTCTGGATAGAAGGATATGACATGAAGATACTCAAAATCTACTCAACACTTCTCATTGGTTGATACAAAAATTTCAAAACTATTTCACACCACAATTTTATAAAACACAAGAACCAGAATTGTTAAATGGGGCCCCTCCAGATATTTTTCCAACAGTTATTCTTTATATATAAGTATATAAATTGTGCAAGAAACTTAGTGAGGTCCAATTAATTAAAAGAGAAATTAAGCAATAGAGAAAATGGCAGCAACAGGTAGCTCAGCCACAGTTGTTAGAGCAACTCCATTTTTGGGCCAGACCAAATATGCTAACCCCCTAAGGGATATAGTTCCTATGGGCTCTGCCAGATTCACCATGGTAACTTTTTATTTTTCTTTTAAGTGTTTTTATAATTGAGTTCGATATTTAATATTATTGAACTTCAAATAAATTTATGATTTGTGTAAAAAGATACTGAACCTGTTATGTTTTATCAGAGTAATGATTTGTGGTATGGACCTGACCGTGTCAAGTACTTGGGACCATTTTCTGCTCAAACTCCTTCATACTTGACTGGAGAATTCCCTGGTGATTACGGATGGGATACTGCTGGTTTATCTGCTGATCCCGAGGCCTTTGCTAAGAACAGAGCTCTTGAGGTACTTTCACTTTTTCTTTTACTAGTAGTAAGTTTGTTTAAAATAAGTAACAGACATTTGCGTGACTAAAATTCATTTTTAGCTAAAAAAGTTTGAAAAATAAAAAAATTATCTTTTTCGTTTTATTTTATGTGACACTATTTGACTTGACACAGTGTTTTAAGAAGAAGAAAAAATGGTCTAAACCATTTCTTAGATATTGTGTAGTTGAAAATCATCTCATTAAGGATAAAAGAGGTATTTTAAAGCTAACTTGTTTCTAATTATAGTGATATTTTTTTTTAACGGATAAAAATGAAAGAATATCACATAAAATAGGACAGAGGAATATCATTTTTGTTGGGACAAAACAAAAAAGTGAAGCACGCCATAGAAAATGTACAGATTTGAGACTCGTAACGATTAATTTAGTATTAAGACATAGTTGATGGATTGATATGAATTGAAATTGTGTTAATTATTCTAGGTTATCCATGGGAGATGGGCCATGCTTGGAGCTTTTGGTTGCATTACACCAGAAGTTCTTGAAAAATGGGTAAAAGTGGACTTCAAAGAACCAGTATGGTTCAAAGCTGGAGCCCAGATCTTCAGTGAAGGTGGGCTGGACTATTTGGGCAACCCAAACCTTGTCCATGCTCAGAGCATTCTAGCAGTATTGGGCTTCCAAGTTGTACTAATGGGCCTTGTAGAAGGTTTCAGAATTAATGGGCTTCCTGGAGTTGGTGAAGGCAACAATCTCTACCCAGGTGGACAGTACTTTGACCCATTGGGCCTAGCAGATGACCCAACAACTTTCGCGGAACTCAAGGTCAAGGAAATCAAGAACGGAAGATTAGCTATGTTCTCCATGTTTGGATTCTTCGTTCAAGCTATTGTCACCGGCAAAGGCCCACTTGAAAATCTATTGGATCACCTTGACAACCCTGTTGCTAACAATGCATGGGTTTACGCAACTAAGTTTGTTCCTGGATCTTAAATTTTTTTCACATATCGACTTTGTAGCTTTGTACCACTCAATCATTCATTCATAATGCAAATATTTGGCAAATGAAAAATTATTTAACATACACTTGAACCACTAGCATTCATTCAACGAATAAGTTGAATTCAGCTATATGAACCATAACGTTCAAACATGACAAAAACTTTAAGAAACTTGTCAAAAGTAGGACAATATTGGTGAAAAGAGTTGAAGGGAATACAATGATACCATCACATTTGGCCACTCATTGTGTTGTTGTGAACAATCAAGTAAATGACTTTTCTACAATTGATCACCATCTTTCAACAAAAACTAGTTTACAACATTTGCTAATGCGAAAAGACGTGTGGACTGACAAATTCAATCCGTTTTTCGCAAGCTATCTAATATACTTCCACAACCTAGCAATGTTTACAACAGGCTATTCACAAACAAGTTCTTAACTATCTAGCTGAGGGATTGCAGAGGATACGTCGTTGAGCACACGTACTATTTCCCAATCTCCACCAACTTTGCTAACTTAGCAACCATTGTTGGGGAAATTGGTTCCATCTATACATTCAACAACACCCTATAGAGTAAAGAAGAAAATGACAACGATTTTAAGCTAAAATCATTTGCTCTTCTTACCCCACCATTTTCTACGACTCTTCCCTGCTTTAGAATGAACAAGCTTGTGTACTTTTGACTTTGTCTCCTTTAACCGAACCTTGTACTCTTTTTTCCATTCCTCAAACCTGTGTTTCAGTCTTCGATACTCATCTGCAGGATTATTAGTAGACTGTAACTGCCCTGGCTTCAAGTGAACAATTGCCATGGCTTCGTTGTCAAAATTTTGCTTCCGTTGCTCAAATTCCATTGCAAGGTGGCTGATTAAGGATAAACCACCATTAACCTCTCTATTAGCTACAACACCCAAGCTGTTGTTAGAAAAGCTAACTGGAGTGCGTCCCGCAGGAGTGTCCATAGATGTTGCATCATCAGAATCATAATACTGAGGAGATGGGGAACCTTCAAGCTTTCCAGGTCGACCAGTAGTGTCAGCAGCGGTAAGACTGTTCCTGGCTGCAGCTAGACTAACCTGCTTTTAACAAAGCAATCAATTACCTTGTAAATTCATAAAATATGAGTTAACAAGTAAAAACTCAACTTCAAGCATCAGCAGTATCAGTAGAGAATTCATAGAACTACGGATACCAAAAACTAGAGAAAATGAACTATCTAGGATCATATTGCAGCTTACTCACCTGCAATGATGTCATTTGCTTTTGCCACATCTCCTCCATTGACCTCATCTTGACCTCATATTCTAAGCATCTGGTCTCGAATTGGTTTACTTGTTCCTTCAGGGCAGCATTTTCCTTTTCCTTTTGTTCAGTTGTTGCCTCGGCCTTTGCAACCCGTCTTTCGAGGTCTTCTACAACAGATGGTAGGATTTCTCGAGGCAACTCCTGCTTGCACAAAATAATTCAAACTTACTACTAAAGATTCTCAAGCAGTCAGTAGTAATATCAAAGACTGCATTGCTGCCTCAACTGTTCACATTTAAATTAAAATCAGACTTCACTTTGAATGACTAGCCATTGTGCAATAAGAAATAAGGAAAAGGAGAAGGCATGATAAATGATGCCATTATCCTGATTTATCCATCAGTGATTCTTCACCAACTGTCCTTTCCCTTTCCCCTTTTAGCTTCTACATGGGAGAGGGGAAGGACTAACGTATAAACCAAAAACGGCCATACTATTCATTCTCTCACCACCTTTTCTTTCAATCTCAATAATCAAACACTCGGCAAGATGCCAGAGTATTTCATCTTCCAAAGAAAGAATAAAAAATGAAGAAAGATTCCACTGAATCCTGAAATTAGAAAAGCAGTTGCATACCCAAAATTGTTTTAACTATGCCCCCAAAAAAGAAGAAAAACTGAAATACCTAAAATTGGCTTCATGAAACAGGCCACCAAATTCTTAAAGATATTAGTCCGGAAGCAGACTTTACAATGCTGAACGAAGAAACACGAAAAGTTACAATAAAATCTTTGGGAAAACTTTTAAAATGCTAATTATTCCATTATAAGGTATATTAAGGGAATAAAAATTGAAACACAAGGACTACTAGTAAGGATAGGTGAGAATCTTTATCACAGCGTACCTTGACCTCCGTCTTTCTGCCTGATCTTCGTTTGTCTACATTTAACATTTTTGAATTTCGCAGTTTGCGAAGACCCCTTCTAGCCAACCAACCACGAATAGCTGCAAGAAAGATGTGTAAATATATATTTGGTTTCATAACCAGCTGCCAAAAAGAAGATCTGTAAATCTATATTTGGTTTCATATATTTGATAACATGCAAATAACTTTTACCTGATTGTATCTGCACGACAGCCACCAGTTGCTCATCACTTCCTTCACGAGCAACCTTCGCTTTAGACATCACTTTAGTATTATACAGCCTTCTTTCTATTTCACCACGAATAACTATAAGAACAAATGTTGACGTCAAACATCAAGTGCAATTCAACATTGGAAGCTTATAATTTAATTATATTGATGCATCGCCTCAAAATTGACCCAGTTCACATAACTAGTTATATTTGGAACTTCCAACATTGGTTCAAAGGTAGTTAATTATAGTTTTTTAAATACAAATTACGAAGACAACATTGTAGTTGTATGTTTTTTCTTTTTTTTTTTGAGACAAAAGTTGTATGTTTTTTCTTTTTCTAAAACCACTTGAATGGCATCCCCAAGTGCTCAAAACTTTGAAGACATCTAATATAGTCTTGAAATGGAAAAATACTCATCCAACCTGATAGACACAACAATCTTCATGAATATCATCTTCTATTATATTCAACGAAAAAAGGGAAGAAAAGAGACGAGTTGCAAAGGGATCTGCTTTACATGATTGAAGTATGATTACTCCTCCTTTCAGTTCATGGAAGTGCCGACGAGCACGATGACCACGGAAGCACTTCTGCAACTCAAGAGTACCTTGCAGAACTTGGTTCCTTGCATCCTCCAATGAAGCAATCTACATGTACGAGGGACAGAAGTTCACATATAGGCACACAAAAGGAAACCCAATCTTCAATAGGATGTATCCATTGTCTCCTTAGAAGCCCATATTGGGTATATGTCAGAGAATATGTTATATCCATAAGACCATAACTTATGCCATTTTTATTGTTTGACCACTCAAAACCCTTCTCCAAACAGAAATATGCCTCCAAAAATATGATTTTTTTCTCAAAATGGTGCCACCAGTTTGGAAGACACCACAATTTTTTCAAGATAACTATGGTGTCTGGGCCAGCTAGCGTGCACATCGACACACCACATGTTTTTCATTTATCATTATTTGGTTCAACTATATAGAAGTAATGATTAGAAGAAAATCAAAATTTATGGTGCTTCTTTTAGATGATTTAGTAAATGACATAAATTCTTTGAGAAGTAAACATATCCACACAAGAGAACAAGAAACCATGAATTCACCTGTCCTGATCGGAAATATAACTTGGTATACCCAACTTGGTACAGTTCCGGAAGAATACCAAATTGATGAAGAATGGCAACTGACATACTTAAAGGATCTTGGCATGCACTATCCTTTGGCAGAAGGAAGCCGTACCTAAATTACCGCAATCATATATATAAGTTGACAAACAACCAAAAGAACAAATCAGCAACAAACTAAGGATCGTGTATGTCACCTGCTTGTGAATTCTTGATGTGTTAACCTAGTAGGATAGCCAGATCTTGATATTCTAACCACCTCAAGAACACCGCAGCATCTGAGTTGTTCTATGACAAGATCTTTGTCAGACATGCCAGGAAGCTGCTTATTATTTGGTTTTATGCAACATATGAAATGTGGTATGGTATTTTCCAATTGCTGCATCAATTTGAACAAATTATCCTGCCAGAATTTGATAAAGGACAACATTGAGAAACAATCATAGCACCTCAAGATACAAACTTTTTTTTTTCCAAGTGTTTAGTTTGTCAGCATGATCAAATTCTATAGAAAATAACCACCTTAAACTTAGTTGCAACACTTTGCTTCTGAAAATCTAGCACTCCTGCATCAGTTGATGGAATTGATAATTTTTTATCTTCAGGCAGGTGACTGTCACTTGATGAGAGTAGCTGAGTAATGTCAGGATGCAACACATCTCTGTTCTTTGCTAAGAAGCCAGTTGCATCATAAGTTACCTGCAAAACACATACGTTATTATAGAGTATGTAAAGAACCAAGAAAGTCAACCATAATTTCTGTCTCTAAAACAAATGATATGGCTTTGTTACACCAAAAACTAAGCAGCAACAACATGCCCACTGTATCCCACAAGTGGGGCACCAAAAACTAAGCAAAGACATATTTGAGTTTAAGGTTAAGTACATAGTCCTTCTTAAATTCAAAAGCTCTAGCATTTTCTCTCTCCAAATTACCCACCATACAAATACCAAAATGGACTTCCAGATGTTCCTAGATGTTTGGATAAGTCCGATCCAAGACATGATAGCAACAGGTCCATTGATTTTTAGGCATGCACCAGTTCCCAAAATATTTAGCGAAAAAGAATATGTTACAACAACTACTGACAGATGACCGAAATAGAGAGCAGTTGTCTGAGATTATTGAAATAGAGAACAATTACATGATTCTGGAATTCTTTTCCACCAAAAAGTGCTAGTAATGGCAGAAAGAAAGAAAGTTCTTCTTGCAGCACCCATGGAAAAGAATCTACACAAAGAGGTATGATAAAGTAAATCTTCCAGATATTATAGGTTTAGTGGTGTAGTTTGGATTGAAGATGGAAAATCACTAGTGAGAAGTTAGAAGAATGGCTAGAAGAGGTGGTACAGCTAGAGGATCACTGGTCAAGAGGCACACCCCCATTGGTAGTAAATGAAAACAAGCATAATGCCACCAAAACAATAATCAAAACAAGGATGGTGCCACCAAAATGGTCACTGTAATAAAACCATGATAAGAAAGAAAAACTCTCCCAACAATTGAGCGTAAGTCTGACCATGGGGATGTGAAAGCTATCAAGTCTCTTAACCAAAATAGTGAA